AGAATAGAGGCTACTCCGTCTTGGCCTTTGGGCCTGACGCGCTACAATTAGCTCACTGAGAACCCAAAAGAACCTGTGGATAGTTCTCTTCCCACGGACGTTTCATTCACATGTCTGGAGCCTGAGGAGAAAAAAGTTGTTCCTCTTGCTTGTTCTTTCACTTTTCGATCGCTGTCCAGCTTGTTTCGTCTCTAGCTCCATTAAACCTAGACACGTCCACACAGTGCATCCACTTCTATGTGACCATTCGTCACCACCTCTCCTCGTTCTTCTCGTTCGTTCGTCAGCCCGAGTTGCAGGCCTTCATAGCCTCTAAGTGTGTCGCCTGTGAGGCCATATTTCAACACTAGCCCAAACGAGGCAGAGTCGCAACACGCGTGTAATGCCTGCTGTGCCACTCATCTGCCTTTTCATTATCACCACTATCTCTTGTCGGCTCTTCTGCCTCGACACTTGTGACGAATGCTATCGTCTGCCCAGTTCACCCCCTTTCTTCTCCTTCTCTGTCGATGTTACCTCATTTTCCTTGCATTCCGCTCAGTTTTCTTGAACATGATATTTGTCAGCTGTTATGCAGGTATGTCGGTCATTTCAACCAAATGTAGACTTATTTCTGTCCATATTATCTCTCCCCTCATCATCAGCTCTTCTCTCCCTCTCCCTTTCTTTCCTCTCTCTCTTGCTCTTCTTTTCTAGCTCTTGCTGTCTCCATCTACACACACGCATACATTTGTAATCTCGACATTCGTGAATGTGATCAACTTCCTCTTTATCTTTCTGTATGTCTACCCATATCTGCTTGCGTCCATTTTTTGCTAGCTTATCTCACTAGCCTGTCCAGCGCTTCCACTGTCTACTTGAACTTCTCTATGATGCTGTAGGCGTAGGTCTGCCGGCCTTCTTGCCTGACTGACCGCCTGCCCGGTTGCTTGCTCTCTTGCCTTACTTTCTGCCCTCTTTCCACAAGCATTCGCACGTGTAACCATATTTCCTCCGGCCTATGTTAAGGGACGGTGTGGAAAGAGAACCATCACATCCTGTCAGCATCTATCGAATGGGGCTTAGCTGAAGGCCAGATGTTCTCTAGTGCGTGTGCTGTTTGTAGTAGCAGCAGCAGTTGTTGTTGTTGTTGTTGTTGTCGTCGTCGTCATTGTTGTAATTCTTCTTCTTGCTGAAGAGGGCTTAGCAGTTGCAAGAGAAACACAATTAGAGGACCTTGTCGTGCTCCTTCGGACAGACAGGCACTCAAAGAGCTGCCTGGTAGATGGGGTCATTCAAAAGTCGTCTTCTTGCTTTCCAACCTCAGCTCTACATTTTACCACCGATTGGCCTCTTCATTCTCTTCTCTCATTCCCTTCTTCCATCTCTCCATGCCTCCCTCTCTTGTCGCCTTGTCTTGTTCACTCCTATAACTCGCTCTGCTGTTTGGTTTTCTTGCTAGCTCCTCTCTTACGTGCGCTCTTACCGCTGTACACCGTCTTCCCCTACCCGTCGGACGTGGGCGAACCAAGCGCCTGGTATGTCACTAGCCCATTTCGGTCCGGGTCTGCCCGGTCCTGACCGGTCTGCTCTGCTCGGCCCAGTCCTCTCTCCGTGGCTGGCCAGCAGGGTGTTCGGCCTCTGCTATTTCGGCTTGTTCCAGCCAGAGATTGCCTTTCACAAGCCTGGATGCATTGCTTCTCTCGCATCTCTGTTCGTCCATGCCTTTTGTTCCACTTGCTCTTCTATTGA